TTCTTTGAATAATTCCTCGTTTTCTTTGAAGAAGTATTTTTCGTTCTCTTTGAAAAAGTATTCCTCGTTTTCTTTGAAGTATTCCTCGTTTTCTATATGCTTCGTTTTCTTTGATAAAATATTCCTTGTTTTCTGTAACTAAGTATTCATCCTGAAAAAGCACACACACACATACGTCGATGATAGAATATTCTCTTTACTTTTAAATTTCTTGGTTTATCGGGTATAAAAGAGGGAGAGAAAGACTTCAGGACTGTTGAACTTCAGAGGCGAGAGAGTGCACCTTCACTCGTCCTTTAGGGAGCGGGGACCTGCAATATTTAACGACAAATATTATTCATTAATAAATACGGCCACTTCGACACGCATCTTCCTATGAAGAAAGTCTATGAACCTATAAATAGTCTTGTTGATAATAAATCCGTTTCATTCAGTTATCACGATGTTTTTTTTTTCTTTCTTTCTTTCATCTTTGATTAATTCATCTATCGACACGGTCATCGTTTCTTATCATCTATCTATACATTTATTCATAATTTTTTTCTACATCTACAGTGGTGTGCATGGGAATGAGATTGCATGAGGTGCAAAAAGTTGAAATGGCGACCCCTTCCGTAACTACCTTTAATTTTTTTTTTTTTTTTTTTTTTTTTTTGTAAATCCCATAAAAAATACCATGAATATGTCTATGAATCGAGAAAATGAGTCTGCTATTGGCAAGAAAAGTCGATTCGAGACCTTAACCCAGTTGGTCCCTCTTATGTGAAAATTCACTTTGGCGTCCCTCCTTTTCATCGGCAGGAGGGGCAGTTCCCCCCCCCCCATCGCCACCCCCCCCCCCAATTCCAGCACACCACTGATCATCTGCCTCTCTTCCTTACCACGGTGAAGCAAATATCAAATCCTTTTCCAACGAAAGCCCTATCAGTGGAGAAAACAACTTCTACTTGGTTCGTAGCTGACATGGTGAAATCTGGAGCCACATTACCACAGTACTTGGGCCTGTTCGGGAAACCGGAAAGGATATGAATGGGTGAAAGAGCAATGGTAATAAGATTATAATAATTTTGGTTATGGTCATCAGGCCTGAGGAACGATCCAACTGAGTTTATTCGTTCATTTTTATATGGACTTTTTCTTCCGTCAACATTAAGGTCAACGAACGAATTGGTTAACAATCTCTTTCTAGTTAGTGGAATAATAAAGAAAAAATGGTAGCAGTTAAATATTGTTTCAAAAAATTAATCTTTGGTATCTGTCAGTATCAGTTAACTAACAAAAATAGAATGGTTGTCAACATCAAACGAAAGGCACATGCCAACTGGTTAACTAAAAATGAAAATAAGAAAGTAAACAAAAATCTTACGGCGTTGGAATAGGAGTAGGAGTAGTATCAAAGATTTGCAAGTAGTCGAAATCACACGCGGGTGGTTCAGGTTCCAGGTTGAATAATAAATAGACAAAAGTAATGATAAAACCATCTGGAGCGGTGATTGTTGTCGTGAGGTCCAAGTTGTTGGTATAATTATTAGGGAAACCGGGAGAAACGAGACGGCCTCCAGTATCAGTCACGATGTTGGTATCGTTGAAGCCCACTGCAGAGGCGGAAGATATTAGTAGATATTAGAGTCTGTGGAGCATCACTTGGAAGAGATTATATGACGCAACAAACAAGTTGGAGTGCACACAGAGAAAAAAAACTGGCAACTCAACCAGGTGCTGGAAAACTGCGATGCGCTTTCCCTCCCCCCTCCCTCTCTCTCTCTCTCTCTCTCTCTCTCTCTCTCTCTCTCTCTCTCTCTCTCTCTCTCTCTCTCTACATGATGTTTATTTATATGTCTGGACTTAAACTCAAATAAAATACTTTGTCATTATTTTTACTCTCTCTCAAAAGACACAGACGCTTTGGTCACACATACACACATAAGCAGTGAATACTTTGCAATATCAATACTAACTTTCATAAACTGGTCCCTCTGTACAATTAAACTGAAATCAAGAGAAATAAGTAGTTTAAGCACAGAGTTTGAAGGGAAACAGATAAATGGGATAAATGTTGCATCTACTAAATCAAGTATTTTCGGATATGAATAATACTGCAGTTATTATTCGTCCTACTAAATCAGTGAATATTTACTGCGTTATTGACTATCTACTGTTGTTACTTTAACTACTAATGCTGCTAAATAGTTGAGTATTTGCTAGTACTCACACTATTATACAGTCAATGATTATATAACGCTACTGCAAATACTACTGTAGATAATAATCCAACTACGAAAAAATACTGGTAATACTGATACCAAACACTTCTTTGCTATTTAACGAGAACAGTTACCTTGCTAATGTTGTTGGTATTATATCAATGCCAACTACAAATTGCCATAGAAATTACCCAAAAACTACCAGTATTGTTAGTACTACACGACAATGAAAAATTTCCCAACTACTACTATCACTATTATTATTACCAGTACTAACTACTACTCAAACTAGGCTAATAATTCCAACGCTATCAGTACTCATGATAAGTCAAAACATCTCACGCAATTGACTGCTCTCAGAGCCACATTGAAGCCACGATTAACTTGGCTGAAGTCGGTGAGGAACTGCATCGATGCCGTGTTTCCCGCTGTCACCCAACCTTGTTGGGCGACACTTCCACAGTACAGATACTGTGAAGAGAATAACATTTCTCTTTTTATTTCTTTATTTCATCTATTTACCTTTTTTTACTTATCATTGTTATTAGATATATTTGGATCCGCAGATTCCCGTGTTTAAAGTGTTTATTCAGTAAATCAGTCAATAATAACTAATAAATAAATGCAACCCTTTTATTGTATTCCTTTTGTGACGAGGTCTTAGCTTGTAAATAAAAGAAACATGAAAAGGATCGAATACTAAGTGTCATAGAACCATGAAAAGGATCGGAAACCATTGTTACTTACTTATTGATCGTCAAAGTGTCGAAGAAGCACTTCTCCAGTGACACCTCGCATAAATAGACCTCGATTTGACAACTACTTGGAGCTATGACTTGGAGACTGCAGTCAAGGTTGTTTTCATAAGGATGGTTGTAATCAGGGCTGTGGACATGAACGGCATCTCCTTCACCCGCCAAGTTATAAATTGCGTGGTCACAGATCGAGACTGAAGAAGGAAAACATCGGAGGTAAGATTAAAAGGAACTCGAGGTATTCATAAAGCAATTCGGACAGTTCTCTATGACTGCAATCATGAACACATAGGAACACAAATACAACACATTGTAAGCTGTCCTCGTTTTCTGTGAATAAGTATACCTCGTTTTCTTTGATAAACATTCTCGTTTTCTACAAACAGAGAAAGGGAAAGTTCAACTCACTACTAGGTGCTGGCCAAGGACAGGGCGGGGCTGGGAAAGCTGTTGTGGGAGAAATTGTTAGATAACTTCAGGGTTACCAATATTGACATTGGATATTTGAAAGCAATTTTCGGTCAATTTGATTTTTACATTATACAGTAGTTTCAGGATTTGAATAGATTATGAGTTAGAGGGAAATAGAGAGAGAGAGAGAGAGATAAAAAGAGAGTGACAGATAGAAAGAGAGAGACAGAGAGAGAGAAAGACAAAGACATAAGCAGAGACAGAGACACAGAGAGAGAGAAAGAGAAAGAGATAAGCAAGAGACACAGACACAGAGAGAGATAGAGACAGAGACAGGGGCATAGAGCAAGAGGAACGAATCAACATGAGCCAAAAATAACAGGAAACCGAAACGTATTCCGTCACTCACGAGGGAGACAGCAGAAGCACATCTTCCCTCCGCACATCCAATGACTCGTATTGCCACTGGGGCAATGGCTTTTCCTGGGGACGCAATAACCCCACAACTCTTTGCATATCTGCTTCCTCCGGCATGGGGGAGCGCAGCACCACAAGTCCGTAGTATTAGTTACACAGTGCATCACTAGCCTCCTTTTGTTTATACAATCCGCTGGATTCGGTGTCCAGTAACCGCGATACCACTTCCGACATTTCCTGTCGCTGCATGGGTCCCATCCTGCGAATATGTGGTGATAGATTTATGGAGTCATTTATGTGTAATCGATACATGAGAGAGAGAGAGAGAGAGAGAGAGAGAGAGAGAGAGAGAGAGAGAGAGAGAGAGAGAGTGTAATCGATACATGTGAGAGAGAGAGAGAGAGAGAGAGAGAGAGAGAGAGAGAGAGAGAGAGAGAGAGAGAGAGAGAGAGAGAGAGAGAGAGAGAGAGAGAGAGAGGAGAGAGAGAGAGAGAGAGAGAGAAGAGAAGAGTGTGTAATCGATACATGAGAGAGAGAGAGAGGCAGACAGACAGACAGGGAGAAAGAGAGAGATACAGAGATAGAAAAAGGAGACAGATAGTGATTTACATACACAAGACATAATTACATATCTCAATTAGGGGCTTCTTTTATATGGAAAAAACAGACTACTAAATATTTACACCATGTAAAAATGAATAAATAAAAAGAATGATAATAATAAATGAATAAATAAATAAACCTGAAAATGAAAAAAAATATATATATATATACAATATTAACCATTTAAACAACACATAAACAAAACAAACAAGAATAAAAAAAATGATCATATATATATATATATATATATATATATATATATATATATATATATATATATATATGTGTGTGTGTGTGTGTGTGTGTGTGTGTGTGTGTGTGTGTGTATACATATATATATATATATATATATATATATATATATATATATATATATATATATATATATATATATATATATATATATATATATATATATATATATATATATATATATAATAAGCATTAAACAAAAATCACCTCGCAGGTCGACTTCGAAGCCATCCAGTTCGAGTGTTTGCTTGAATGCTTCCAGCCCGTGGGATTGCAACACACGGAGCCCTCCGTTGCAAGTCTCGGCAGCCCTGTTGGGGGTCATGCAGTTCCCGGGGGACACGCACGCACCCCCTTCAGCGATACATTCATCACGTGACATATTCTGAGCTGACACCTGCATGTTTTTTTTTTTTTTTTTTTTTTTTTTTTTTGAGGGGAGAGAGAGGGAAATGGGGGAGATGGGGGAGAGAAGGGAGAGAGGGGGTTAGGGGTGGTAAGAGGGAAGAAAGAAAGGATAGAGAGAGGAGAGGGAAAGAGGGGTTAGGGGGTGGTAAGAGGGAAGAAAGAAAGGATAGAGAGAGAAATGGGGGGGATGGGGAAGAGAGGAGAGGTGAGGGAGAGAGGGGGTAAGGGGATAAGAAGAGGGAAGAGAGAAAGGGTAGAGTGAGAGAGGAAGGAAAGATTTTAAAAGGGGGATGAGGGTAAAAAGAAAGAGAGAAGGGGTGGGGAAGAGAGGAGGAGAAAAGGAGAGGGTAATAGAGAAGAAAGAACATAGGGGAGAAAGAGGGAGGGGGTGTTAATAGGGAGGAGAGAAAGGTAAGGAAAGGTGTATGACAGAAGATATATAAAAGAAAGAGGGTATGTGGGAGTAAAAGGGAAAGAGAAAGAGAGAAAAAATATTAAAATATTGATGGTTGTCTAACTTTACTCTATCCATGTATATAAACACATATTTATACTGTACAGATATCTCACCAAAGTTTGCTATGCTTATATGTGTGTGTTGATTTGGAGTGCAAGTTTGAGTGTGTGCATGTATTACATGCATGTTTATGTTTGTCTATTCTTCCCGGTTCCTCTCTACTACCGATATCCGCTCCCTGTCCCAGAAACTCTCTAACCTCACCTCCCATAGTCCCTGGTCCTCCTTCTCCCTCACTGACGCGGTTACCAACCTTTCCTCCCTGTCCTTGACCCCTCACCAACTACAACTCCTTGGCTTCGGTCTTTCCTTTGCTCTCCGCCCTCTCCCCCTTACCTCCATTGACATCATTTCTTCCTTTGACCGGTTCATCTCCGCTCATAGGAACTCCTTGCCTGATGTCTCCCTCCTTCGTGGGGCTTTCCTTCCCAAGGTCTATATAAGTACAGGTCTCGTCACTAAGCGACTCAAATTCGTCCATCTCGCGCATGCCGTCTTCTGGAGACAGAGCCTGGGGGTGCCACGCTAATCGTGTGGTCATTCTTTGATGTGAGGTAGAGCTGTAAGGATCTCTCCCTCTCTCCGTTTTCGCTCGCTTGACTGACCGGCGCGTACAAAGCCTCAATACCCAGTGGTTGGTTGCAGCTTATATAATG